TATATATATATAGATCAACTTCACATTAGAAGTAAAGCGTAAATTCGCAGTGTTGTGTATTGAATACCTACCTATGATATGACATATCTCGTCCATGTGCAGGTATCCTCGTTTTGAAGTAGCGTCCAAAATGTGCGTGGAATTCGACATATCTATCAGCTTCCAGAAACACAACTTTCCTGAAGTCATCACTTAATATCTGGAATTGTACGATCTCACAGTCCAAACTACGTTCAAACTTCATACCCAGTTCAGCGGTCTCGAAACACTTGAGTTTCGGCTTATATACACCCGACGCCATCAAATACTGCTGATCCCTCGACATCTTGATGCGAGTGGCTGCTGTAGGCATATCGAAGTCTTGTATGAGCTGTACACGTTGTTGTAGATCTACATCTTTTTTTACTAATGCTCGCTTCTTGCGGTCAGTTAACCATTCTGGTACACTTTTGCCGGTGTTGACATTGTATACCTTTACATTGTTCACGTTTGTGAATTTCATCTTGATATTTGTATATTAGGATTGATGTACTAGTGATTTGTGTGCGTACAAGCACTATCTATATGTATGGTGGCTGTCAATCCCTATGTATAAATATATGTATATCTATATATATATATATATATATATAAAACTATATGTGTGTGTATTTATATACATGTATATGTATATAATTATATATATATATATATTGTGTGTTTGTGTATATATATATATATATATATATTCATATATATATATATATATAACCAATTAGAGTAACTACGGGGAGATCGTCCTATACTTCTACAAAGACTGCAACCTTTGCCCTGTGCTGTACGCTGTCCTGAGATCTGATACTAGCGATTATGAATCCCAGCTATGTATGTATTTTGTACACGTGCATTGCTTTTCATGTCGTAAAATCACCCTATGACCTAAAAGTTTTGGCGGGGCAGCCCATACCAAAGAATATTCAATATTGTATCAATATTTACGACAGGAAATTAGGTGCTTGTGTCGTAAACTACAGTTAGTTTGATGATGACGCGCCAAATTTTCGATTACATTTGGAGGAGTGGCAACTTGTGAGTTGTGGATGTGATTGTGTGGTCTTAATCCACGACTCCATATGGCAATCCTCTACAATGACGCTAGTCAGTATATTATATAGATCCAGCTATGCATTGTCAGTATAAGGTATGCAATTTCACAATAGAAATATAATTCGGTTCAACTACACATTAGGCTTTGATTTAAAAACAATATTAAAATTAATACATTTACATACTAAAATAGGTTAAAGCTAGTACAAATACATAGTAGACTAGATTGAAATCGGTACGTACACATACTAAACTAGGTTAAAATCGGCACAAGTACATACTAGAATAAGTTAAAAATGGTATAAATAAATAGTCAACTAATAAAATCAGCACATGTACATATTAGACTAGGTATAAATCGGTACATTTACATGCTATACTAGTAGGTTAGAATCGTTGCAAATACATAATAGATTAGGTCATAATCGGTATAAATACATACTAGATGAAATCGGTACACCTAGCTTGGAATCTGTTGAAATACATATCGGATTGGATTTACATTGATGCAAATACATATTGGACAAGGTGTAAAGCCGATTGTTAGAAGGTTTGATCGGAGATGCAGGGTCTCGACCACATACCACTCTGGGAGCTAGGTATACCAGTTTTAACTAGCCCGAAACAAGCCGAATTTACGTAAAAGGAATTCACAATTGGTTCGTCAGTTATAGGTAGTGAACTCAACTATAGATTAAATTGGGTACATATTGATCAAAATTCGACGTAGCGGTAACTACGAAATACTCTATGTAGTCGTAAGCCTGTCACATAGTGATGGGAGACCTCTTAGAAGGTCAGGTGATTTTTTTTGGGTGCTATAGTGCCGACTGAAGACTCAACAAAAGTAGTCTGAGCTACATACATAGTCATAAATCACTTCGGCTTATGCTAAACGCAATGCTCATTTTTCCAATCTTGCTTGTTAATTTTGTTGTATCTACTTTAGGTGGTAACTACCGATTCTCATTCCAACTATCACACCTTAAGTGGTTTTTACTTTAGTAATGTTCTCAATCGAATAGTAAGCAGCAAACAAAATGTTTTCGTATACCAGCCAACTTTCGATGAGGGTACGACCAGTTATTCGTAGAAGCATTGCCATCTGTATGGGTACACATAAGCATCACTTAAGTGGTGCAAATGCTGTGTACCAAGTACAACCCAGCGAATTGCCTGGCTATATGCTTATAAATGTGGATCAGTTCTAAAATGAATTTATTTACGATTCAGTACAGACAAACGTATGTACACGTTGTGATTTTTATATCTAACTTCACGCCAGGCCCTCAATGGACACGTACTTGCGACCGTCTCTCACCATCTTGTACTCTTTAGTCACCACGTGTGGAGGTATTCCGCCAATGATATGCGGGAATATCCACTTTGCCCCCTGATTCTCTGCTTGTTTATCACCTACCGGCATAGCTTCCTCATCTTTAACGTGTATACCTGCATTGTACAGTGCCGTCCGGGTGAATTTCAGGCACAGCCAGTCGCCAGCAACATCCTGTGAGAACATAAGTGAATGTTAAAATTGGTATTGCGTTGAAAGTGGTCGTATACAGCACTGAAATTAGCAGACCACAAAGAAAAAGACCCTTTCTGAGTTGTGGCGAGAGCGTACAAGTGTGTCTGCATACCATACAGGATTTTCAGCAGTGTTTCGTGACATTTCGTAACAAACCATCCCACATTATATTCTAGAGCAAACCTAAGAGTGCGAGCAAAAAGCAAGAAAACAGCACGCATACTGTGTAGTATTGATTGTAACGAGTGCGTCGCAATGACTGACTGTGATTCTCAACCGTTTGCGTACGTAAGCGATATATTAAATGTATCACTGTGTAGGGAATGCTTAATCCCATACTCAAACATCGCCACGTTAAGATACCTGACCCGTGCGAACCAAATTAACACTCACAGTTTCAATGCACCTTTCCAGGTAGTATATACACACCTGATAAAAATTGTTAGCGGTGGTTATCAACCGTGAGGGTACCCCTGTGCCGTGTGTGAAGTAGCCATCCTTCTCGTATGTAGCAGGGTAGTAGGCCTTTCCAGATTTCTTTACTTCCTCCCATTCAGCCTTGGTGGTCATGTGGTAGATAACTTCGGGCTTCGTTTCAATTGAATCCTATGCATATATATAGTGTGGAATTTCAAAGACAGACACGGGTGAGATATAATGAAATGTTGCCAACGGTTCGTTGTACTGAAGCACCAATGGCCAACTATGGGTTGATTCTACTCCAGCTAGAAATTGCTTGGATGTTACATACATGCTAATTTTTGCTGCCATTTTTAAATACAGTGACTCAGCGTTGCGAAATCGCATATTAAAGCTATTTATGGAGATGAGATAATGATGAAATTCATACGAAAGGAACGGTAGATAAAAACGAACATCGATCAACACCCTGAATCAAAAAGATTCTGAATACTATTCTTCAGCACTCTGAAATAAGAGCTTCCGTATACTATTCTTCAGTATAGAAACTCACAATGGCACATAATGCACCATAGATCAGTATACGTGAAGGAAATTTTGATTGGGTGTGCCTAAAGCCAGTTGCATCTATATACGCCGGCAGTCGAAGAGATCTACAAGCTGTACTACCTCAAATAGCAAGGACGTATTTGTACTAGTACGGTTCATGCATGCACAGGTCATTTTACAAGGGTGTGCAGATAGATGAGATAGACACAGATTGTAAGAATGTTACAAATACAGTACTACGTAAGTGTGACTGTCGCGTCATGTGCAACATAAACATATACTACGGACAATAATACTTGATATACTATACGTATATCCAATTGATCTATATGCATTGGTTGATGGATACTTTGGAACGTGAACAGTGAGCGTACACAAAAAAGAATATTTGAATATGTTTCACCATTTAGATTCGACTGAGCGTGTTTCCCTTCCTACTGTATATAGATATGTCATATATTCTTGTACTTTTCGGATACATTCTACACGTGATATCCATGATTCGCAGACATATGGACTCCAGATTTGTGTATGAGTATTAGCATATTGTGTTTGTATGCAAGTACATAAAGAATTGTCAAAGTTTGTAAGGTCGGTACAGTAGGCGACTGAAAACTAAAAACATGAGTGAAAACTATACAACGGCGGCATCTACGCGCACGCGCCCACGCATATGTACAAACACGTGTACCTGCACAGTCTGAGAACAGCTCATATTACATATGATTTGTATACAATATATCCAATATTATATGCCCACGTATATTTATCTCAAAATTTCCACATATTATACACACATATATGCACATCCGAATAATTGCGAGCCAAAGGGATACGTACATAAGAACACATACTGGGCAACCTCGCCCAAGGTCTTATATATATAATTTGAATGTACGAGCCTTCCTCCAAATAGAACATACGTAATGTAAACAGATATTCGTACACAGCCGCACATAAGCAACTCCGCCCGCAATTCAATTGTTGATGAACACAAAATTGTATCACTCGAAATTAATATAAAGTTGCATCGCACTAGGTTGATACAAATTTTACATCGCTTTGAGTTAATCTATCTGTGTGGTGTTACGCTTGAGATGGTCTGTAGCTGTACCTGTATACTGGTCATTTGTTTTTACGCAGAGCCTCGATTCGCGATTTTAAAATTCTTCTCAAGAGGTACACGTACACAACTGCACACAAGATAGCCTCGCCCACGATCAAATATACGCGATGATGTGGAATGGCAATAGTTATACCTGTGAGCTGGCTGGTTCTTCTTTCTTATGGTGCACCTGGAGTCCAGTGGAGATAGCTCGGTATTCATTGGTAGTATTCTCGCGTATGCACCGTTCAGGCGTGAAAGCTGGTACACACACCGGTATATATACTGTGTCTTCTACAAAGAATTTTTTAAACCGTGTGCCTGTTTCGATTAGCACGGTTTCACCCTGAGCTACATACATATCAGCCTTGCCTTCTACTTCTAACATCAGTTTCCCACTCGCCACGTTGATCCATTCGTCAGAGTGCAGCGTCAACCAGGGCTCGCTAGTCCCGGCAGCAGCGGTAACCATGGCAACCGACACTCTATCGCTCTTGGAGGCAACATTGCCTATCAGTTCATCAATGCACAGACCACCACCCTCTACCACACGCACTGTCTTGCCTACTAATTTCGGCATAATTATATATCTCTATAGAAACGATAGCGATAATCGTGAAAATGTGTGTGTGTTATATATTATTATCAAGGATCGTACTGATACCTTCTCTCGCACAGGGAGTTTATCTACGCTTCTTGATGAATCTGTCCTGAGCGGTGTATTTTTATCTATTTGTGCAAATGCTTCTTTAATTTGTAGGAGAGCACATATGAATATTTGTCTGATTAATATTTAGAAGGCTCATCTTAGTGTTGTGTGAGCAGGCAGTAAAAACTACCATAAATGACGTCATCCATTTTTAAAATCTGCTGGACATGAGTAGACATTGAAGGCAATCATGTGTGAATATACTCGGGTGTATATGAATATACTCGGGTGTATATCAGTGATCAGTTGCAACTGGTCTGTGTACTAATAGAATTCGTAGTTGGGTTAAAATATCGTTCATACAAACATATTTGGTTCAATCAGAATTATGGATACGTCATAAAGTATGACATCATTTCTAAATAGGGCAATACCCGCCTACCAGGAAATAAATAGCACCAGGGATACAAAAGCCATAAAGTCCTACACACAGTCATATATACCAGTATATACATACATCATTATATATATTTATATATATATATATATATATATATATATATATGCATATAGATTGCGTACACACTGCATATACACATTAAATTTTCTGAACACTAAACCTCTCTTGCAATGACTTCTGGTACCTATCCATTTGAGGCGGTCCGTGACCATCTGACTGAATTGTACAGTCGCTTGTCCACTGCAAGGGATGTGCACCACAGGCGCGAATTACTGGACGAGTTTTTCCTGGTGGATCCTTCCTGTACTGTATGTTCCAAAACGTTGTAAACGGTGTGCATTTTAGTAGTCGTGTACATAGGTGCGGGGATACATGGGTGCGTACACGGGATGGTTAATAAATCGTACACTATAATAGCAGCAGACACAACTGTACATGTGTAATGTATATCTCCGCTGATTTGCAGCATGCTGCAACGTCAATTCTCTGCTGATATGCTGTTTTATATTTATGGACTGGTTCTTCCTGGTTATACGTTCATGTATTGGGCTATGAGCTATGCAGACGCTATATTTTAGTATGTTTGGCCTCGTTGTCGGGATGTAGCAGTATGTGTGGCTGCGCGAAAACAACAGGTTGTAGAGGGTAAATTCATAGTGAACAGTATATATAAGTACGTGAATATTTTCGGATACAAATTGTGCGCTCTGCATATGTTAGTATATCGTACTGCTAGTGAACCATACACTCGCTATAGAGTAGCATGTATTTCATCTGCGTGGATGCAATGCACAGCTCTGTATGATTCGCGGAACCAAGATCATTTGAGAGAACAGATCGAGTGACAAATGAAAAAATCTTCAACACTATATTTCCCCAATTCATAAGTATGTGTGCATATAGCTTATTTGGTATTATTCATGGATATATACGTGTAATGTAACTCTGTTGGCTATTTCATACATATGCGTGTATATATCTCTGTTCGTATGATTCATACACATTCGTGTATATGGCTCTGTTGGTATGATCCATATATATGCGTGTACAAAGTTCTTCTATGATTCATATATATATATATATATATATATATATATATATATGTGTGTATATGGCTCTGTTCGTTATATGTGTGTACTATAGTCTCGTTGGGTTAGTTGGTTTATATATAGTAGTAGTATATAACTCTGTTGTCTAGTTGTTACTATATATATATAGTCGTGTACGTATAGTCTCGTTGTT